AGATTAACCTTCAGGGTGGATATAGCTCGCTAGCAGCCTCGCACCGAGGACCTATCCACGTCATCATTTACCCAGAATGCTTTGAGTGTAAATAAAATGGCTCCGTCCATGTTAAAATATATTTTTAAAAATTTACTAAACTACACAGCCTACAGTATTTTTACAGTCTTTATTTTACAATTAAAATATATGTTTATCAAATAAAGTCTAACGTTACAACTAATCGGAAATCCCTTTAAGGCAGGAACAGTTCACTTTTCGTCAAACTAACAGTTTATCAGACTGTTAGCTTCTCAAACTAGCATTAGCATCTCAAACTAGACGTTAGCTTTTTAAAGTAGCCACTGTATTTGAAACTAGCTTATAGCTTCTAAAACTAGCTTTTAGTTTCTCACAGTTGGTGTCTCTCACTAGCCGTCAGTTTCGTAACTGAGGCGTTCAAGATCTGTCTATCAAAAGGAAATATTATTTGTGTATATTTTTTCATAGAAGCATACTTCAAATAAATCCCAACTATTCTTTTAACTTCAAAGTAATGCAGACATTTTGATCTTTATGGGAGCGTTTGACAACATAACCAGGAAATGTTGTTTGGTTCAGTCAGTATTGTAGCAAGTAACTCCAAACAGGCTCTGCAGAACCCAGTGCAGTGTCAAATCAAATAAATGATTTGAATGTCAAGATTAAAACACATATTCCTTGTATTTATTTGCCTTCAGTAGTTAGACATATGTGAGACAAATGCTGCAATAAAAGCTGAGACAACAAATGCAAACCGAACACAGATGCCTATTTGTCGAGTCTGTCTTGGCAAAGGAAGGTGTAAAGGGTGACGTATTACATCTGATATCCATGTTGTCTACAAAAAAAAAAAAAAAAAAAAAAAAATCCTGCACATGTCTCACACTGTAACAATCATCTTGTGACAGTTATGAGGGAAAAGAAACTATTGCTCAAGTTCGTCTTCAAAATGGATTCAAAGCAAAATGTAAAAGAAAAAAAAAGAGAAAYGTAAAACTTATCATTTAGAAAAAATGTTTGCTCACACAAAAATGTACAACTGTGTAGCCGCATCCGCCTACATACTTTTTTTCAAATTCATAGGTTTGGCGCTTCCCTCGGTAGTACTGCGTTCTTAGAATATTTTTCGTTTTACTACACACACTGGAGCTTCCCTCTGTTTAAACTGTAAAGAGAACTGATTTGATTCAGTAACGTTAGCGAGGACACGCCCGTGCCCTCCACATACACTTGACTGGAGAGGAATGTGAGCGATGCTGTCTTTAAGAAGCGTATTTCAGGATGCTCCAAATATAACGTGAGGCTGGACACCGAGAGATTCCAAGAATGTTTATTCTGGTTTTTTTTTTTTTTTTTTTTTCAGCTAAACTGTGTCTTGTTTCTGTCTACGAAGTATTCAACCCAAACAATGCAGGACCCCACCACTACCCCTCCTTGAATTCAGTCCCAATCCCCTTGACCCAAATTCCACAACACAAGGATGAATGGGGGTCTGCCCCCCCTCGAAGGCAGACACACGCATACAAAAACACAATGRACCCACAGCCTTCCTTGGGCCCCCTGAAAATAAAGGAAGGGGGCTGGTCGACCTTTCTATTATCAAGAAGCACTGCAGCTTGAAGGAAGTTAGAAACTCTGGCACCTAAACTTATCAAAACATAATTTAAATAGTTTAGCGTCAGTGCAAGTAATCATCAGGACTAYTTATTCAATCACATTGCCCCCCCTACCCCCAAAAACAAACAAACATCCAATAAACTAATTAAACAGCCGATTCTCTGAGCTGTTTTCAATTAAGTGCTGTGAAGTCTGTGTTTGTGTGAAAGTGGCAGGAGAGAAAAAAAAGGTAGATCCATAAAACAGGACCCACGCTGATTTAACAGACTGCTAGCATCTTTTTGATCTTCGTCTTCCTGCTCAGGTTTTTTTTTTTTTTTTCCTTCTCACACTAGTTAACATCTCCTGGCTGAAGTAAAAGTGTCACRAGTTGTTTAGAGGAAGGTTCAAAGATGAAGGGACATGGGTGGGGTGTCGGTGGTGGGGACGGCGGTGGGTAGGTGTCACGTCTGCCATAGCTGAGATGCTTCTCTCTGCTGGAGACGGGCTGATGTGTGAGATCGTATTAAATATCAGAGCTGCGGCCAAAAAAAAAAAAAACCCTCGATTGTCGTAAATCAGCTCCACTGAGGTCAGATGGTGTTTTCTGTTGTGGCAGTGGCAGGACCCCTCTTGAGTTTAAAGGGAGGGGGTGGGGGGTGTCAGCTGGGAAACTGAATGGCAGCTATTCTTTTCTAGAACTTTTACAAAGTTTATGCAAATCTCGGCTATGATTACTGCTGTCTGGAGCTGAAGCTTTAAAACAAAAGAAGTCAGTTAAAAAAGGGGGGGTGAGGAGACCCCATAAGCCCACTATAAACAGAGACAAAATGCACCCCCCTCCCCTTATCTTAAAGGTGTGGTCAAAACATCTCTGAAGGAGACAAAAGTTACTCAGACGAAACCAAAACTTGATGCAACTCGTCAATTCTGCTAAAACAAATCCGATTTTATACAAATATCAGTAATTTCTTGTGTTAAAACCCCACAAAATATTAAAAAAAATATAACTTCACACTCCTCTCTTCTGGACAAACACCCTGAAACACCTCATGATGGAAGTGCAGAAGACCCAAATAAAAAAGTAAATAAATCAAAAATCAAAGCAAATACTACTTATCTGGTTTTGATAATTCTTTCAACCCAAAAGTTCAGACTGTGTTTAAGATGCAAACATCAGAGCTCAAAGGAAACCTTTTTGTTTTTGGACACAAATCATGTTTGTGAGTTGAAACATTTGCTCCTCTGACTGATTCAGACTCTACAGGAGCCAAAGTGAAATCACTCATCCAACCAGAAACCACAGATCTGACCAACCACACCCTCAGGACAACAATGCCTTTGTATACTATACACTCACATTCAAAGTAAAATAAAATAAATTGAAATAAAACACTTTTAGATCCAAGGATATTCTAAAATCACTGTCTAAAAGCAAATTTAGACAGTGATTTTAAAAGCAAATCACTGGGTAAAAGCAAATATATATATATATATATATAT